CCCCAAAACCCCAAAACCCCAAAACCCCAAAACCCCGTATATATAAGAAATGGTTGATTTACATATACTAAATTATAAAATGACTACTATTTCCCAAATACTTGAAATGAAACAAAACAAGCTCAGAAGCTATTATATCGATAGCGATGGAGACGAGATTGTTGTCAGTGATGATGAAGACTATGATGTTGCAATTGATTATGCTAAGAACAAAGGAGATGTTGTTGTCAAGTTTGGCTTATGCAAGAGACAACATGGAGACTCTGAAGGCGAATCCCTATCTAATCTTGAGGATTCTATAAGTGCTTCCATTCCAGCCTTGCAAAACTTAGCTGAATCTGTCGTTGTTGATGAGCAAGAGCTTAAAGAAGAACTTAAAGATGAGTTAAATAATGTATCCTCAGCTATTTCTGAAGAAGAACTTTCTGAGGAGCAAAAGCTCGACCAGATGCTTAACTCTCAGCTTAAGGAAACAGTCAGTGAGGAAGGATCAATTACGATTACTTCTGAAACTACTGAAGAAGTACAAAACCAACTTGGAGATATTCCTGGGGTTCAAGATGGTATGAGCTCTGAAGTTGATACTGAAAGCCAGAATATTCCTCTAGATAAGAAGATTTCTGGAGTATCTAATATATCTGATAGTATCTCTGAAGAATTCGATATTGTTCAGTCCAGGGTTCATTCTTATGCACCAAAGGAGATGCAGAAAGTCAGCCTTGAGGTTGACCCAATAAAGGAGAGTGTTGAAGACCTTAAGCAATCCCAAGAAGACATCCAAAAATCTATCGATGCTTCCAATAAGAAGGAAAATGATGCTGAAAATCAATCAGAAATTGTTGAAGAGCAAGAAAATATGCTTTTAGAGATGAATAAAGAAGAGGAAAAGGAGGTTTCTCCAGAAGATCAATTTATTGAAGACGCGCAACTAGAAGAACAAAAAGAGGATAAGAAAGATACCAATCCTGATGAAAAGGTAGAAAACAATGAAGACCTTAAAGAAGACGAAGTTGCAAAGCTGATAGAAGAGAATAAAGAATTTAAAGATGACCCAAGACTTGGAGTTGCTGTCTCAATCGCTCAAGCTAGAGTCGTCGATGAAGAAGACAAAAAGAAAGCTAATTATTTCAGAAGAGCACTTGAAAGCGTACAATTTGCTTTTAATGACCCTCATAAGAAGCTAGAAATAGCTGATATTGAAGACTGAGAGGAAGAAAAGGCTCAAGAATATGTCATTACAGCTAAGCCAGGACAATTTGTTAAAAAGAGATGGAGACTTGTGAACAGATCAAACATTCGTTGGCCAAAGTCTACCACTATTAAATGAGAAACAAAGGATGCTGAAGTAGAACTTCCTAAAATTGAGAAGCCTCTTCAACCAGGCCAAAAGCTTGATATTTCAGTGAATATTAGAATTAGTGAAGAGGAGACTGAGAACAACGTCAAGGTATTTATTTTCAGACTCCACAGTAGACTATATGGATACTTCGGTGTAGCCTTGGTTGCTACAATTGAAATTATCCCAGATGAAGCTAAGAATGAGGTTGAAGCCTTCACTCAGGAAGAAAAACTTGAAGAACTCTTGGAGGGAGACGACGATGTAAACCCCATTATGTATGAAATTGCTAATGATTTCGTTGAGGAAGGCCTTGGAAACTTTGATGAATGCCTATCTGCACTGAGAGAATGCAAATCTAACTATGAAGAAGCTAAGGAAAAGTTATCACACAAAACAGAATAAACCTAAAAGGCTCATATTGAATGCTCTAGCCTCCTAATTTGCATTTATTTGGTAATAAATACTAATCTATTTTATTAATTTAGCTTGGGGTTTTGGGGTTTTGGGGTTTTGGGGTTTTGGGGTTTTGGGG